CCGACCGGGTTAAGTCGGAATCCGACTATTTCCGACATAATCAGAGATTGAATCCGATCGAATCCGACAAGATTCAGTGGTCGGATTTCTCGACCTGGGTATTTAACTCTAGTTTAAGATAAATTTTTATTTCAACTTGGCAAACACACCTTATTCAATATATATACAACTGCAAAATAAAATGTTCAACACAAAAAAAAACAAATGAGATATCAATAAACAATAAATAAATAAATAAATCCTCTTATATATTCTACCAAAAACTAAACATTTGATTTTTTCTTTCACATCGTTGGCATGGTAAAGTTGTACCATATGCACCTAAAAACTATTCTTATTGTTAGTATATTCAGACAATGATCTTAATACATACATTTATTACAACCGTCACAATGCCATTCACGCCAATCGCGACATGTTTTACAAATAGTACAATGCCAATCACAATCATCTTCTGCAAGATCATCATTACAGAATGAATAATAATGCATTGTTGCATCATCTGATAGAAGCATTCGAAAGAATTTTTGTATATGACCTAATTTTTCATTGGCTTCAATTCGATTCCATTTTTTCGACCACTTCTGAAAATCTTCATCATCTGATAATTCTGAAAATCTAAATATGACATAGATTATTATTATAAGTTTAATGTCTATTCATTAAATAGTTACCTGCCACAACTCATAATCTTTTGTTGCAATGCTTCACGATCGATTTTTTTTAATCCATCGGCATTTTTAACATTTTTTACAAGCCAATCGACAAAGCAAGGATGTGCAGTGCATTTACTATCTTCACCGAAGAAATAATCAAGATGATTGAATAAATTTTGACAAGATGAACCACATCCACATGATGAATCACATCCACGATTGGATTTATAGCAATAACAAGAACGTTTTGAACATCCACTACGGCAATTACATTTCTTTGTTTTCTTCTTTTTTTCATAATTCGATTTTTTGTTTGTTTTTCGTTGTTCAGTTTTATTTGAATATTCTTCACTTAACATTGTTAGATAACTAGAAGAATATTATGGAATTCAAATACAAAGAACGATATGAAAACAAAGAAAAAATGCCTTACGCATTGAATTAAGAATAGTCGATGTGAAATGATGTATATGTTGTGATCTATCCAATTATAGTATTATAAATATACATATATATATTTGAACGACACGATATACATAGTTTGATATATTACAGACAACCAATGAAATTATTTGGAAGAAATCGATCAATCTTAACTAGAATTTAATTATGTTTGAAAATGATAAAAATAGTGTGTTATGTATATTATTTCATTCTAAAAGACATCTGATAGTAAAAAACATTTTTTTCGGGATCGATCCTTTTATTGGCAGATGACGTTACAAAATGAACTTAAAGACTTTTTAATTCTATATCAAATTAAATTACTCAAACAATTTATGCTAATGTCTAAGCATTATCATTTATTTCATACTTATGTTAATATGACATCTCTGGGTCACGCTTTTACTGTGTTCCATGACACCGAATGCAGGAGAGAGAGAGCGGAAATTCCATCATTTAGCTTCATTTCATATAAACTCATTCGAAAGCTCAATTCAACTCTAACGTCGTATGGACAATTAGAGCAACAGGCATTAGTACTTGTACAAAAGATAAACGATTGTCTTCGCCTTCTTCGATTCATCTTCATCTTTGAAGTTGGTTGCTTTTTAACATAAAGGAATTCTCATATTGATTTACTCAGATCAAAGAAATGAGAAATATGGAATTTTTGGCTATCATCCAGTTTGATTCAACACAAAAACTAAATTATTCGTCAAATGGATAGACTGCTCTCTATTATACAAGTTTTTAATCAAATCTCTTGACGTCAAAAGTACACGTCAGATAATTGCTATTTTGCTTCCTTTTGTAAAGTTTAATTGATTTTTTCTTTCATTGAATATTAAAGGAAAGCAAAAAATGAGTTTGAAGTGATTAGAATCAGAAAAAAATTACGTAAAAATAACAAGGTCAAACTTGCACGGAAAATAATGTCAATTTTCCATTGTCAATCAAGTTGATTCCACTTATTCCATATTTTGTCATTACCATAGTGGAGAAGATCATAATCCAAATAACGGTTTCTCTTCTCTCTCTCGTTCTTCCCTATTGTTAGAAGACAACATTCGGTTGTTCGGGGCGAATTATATTGAACTCTAGAAAACCTCTAATCGACACAAACAACACTATGTTTCGTCCTTACAATAGAGGGAAAAACCATAACACAAAAAAAATAATTGTCTGCTCTCTCCTCTTTCTTTCTTCGCTATCTTAAGGGTGCCTGAATTAGATAATTATAATGTACTAATACAGGGAAAACAACTCCATGATTCAATCATTCGTAGATCAGTCATATATATACCCAGTCCGATTGGTACTCTGTTAACTGGCACTGGTGCATATCTTTACAGAGGTATAGATACTATCCCTAGATACGCATTATCCTTAGTATTTCTTAAATTAACTTTTATTTGATAGATAATTTGAATATTAATGATTAATGAAAAGTCATTAATTAAGTTTCGTTAAAAAAAATGGTCCACCCCTAGATCTGAAACTGTAACTTCATTCTATGATAAGTAATCATGCTAGCATAGTAGCCCACGTCGAACTTGTACTCATCGTGTGATTATTGCTGAAAAATTTTGTGGGCTGCAAAATAAGCTTGCTGACTCTCGTCCTTTCATTCCAGTATTTTTTCGCTTTCTCGAGAAAAGTGATTTGTGAGAGCAGAAACCTTTCTAAAATGCTTGTGACTCATAACACATTGTCCAGCGTTTTTTAATTTTTATTCCACCTTTTCTTCATAGAATCAAAATACTCCTGTTCCAGAATCAACGGATGGGAAAAGAAAGTCAAAATGTGACTTTAAACAGCAGATGTAAAATGGCGATTTATTCTTATGTATATCTATCAAGAATCAAAATGTTTCTCATCCTTAATGCCTTTGAATAGAAATGAAATTCAGTTTATCGATTCATCATGTAAATGTATTTGTCTGTTTATCTTAGATTGATTATAATATTTCTCTTGATATGCCGTTTCTCTATTTAATGAAGTGAAAAGTAAAGAAGCGGGTGTGGGTGTGGGTGTGTGGGGTGTGGGTGTGGGGTGTGGGTGAGTGTGGGTGGGTGTGGGGTGTGGGTGTGGGTGTCGATGTGGATATTCCTGTGTGTGTGTGCGTGTGGGCATCAATATTCCCTTCAATCATACTCCACACTCACACTCTGTTTTTCTCCTACTATATAAGTGTAGGGTCTTTAAGATGTAGGTTTTTCTGTGCAACACAGTTGAGATAACGTTATCTTTTATCCTGCTCTATGTAGGAAAGAGTTGAGATTGAATCATATTCTGAAGGCTGTTTGTTATCAACAGAAGGTAAGTGAGATCAACTTGAACTTAAACTCTCCAAAGGACATATCAATTAACCGAAAAGCGAATATCGATATTGAAAGTGTCTTTTGCTAAAGCCGTTATTTGCGTTGTGTGAATTAAAATGTGCAAAATTATCATGAAAATTTTATGCAAAGACTCAATTAAGCCCACTAAAATCATTGCAAATCTCACTTCTATCTTTATAATTACTAGCCAATCCTAATGAACTGTACATTGCTATTAGAGTTCAAAACGATTCGACAGATCATGTTTGAGGTTGATTCAATTGATCCATGCAAGCTTGGAATCAAATACAGAGCGGCTCGTAAATAATTGTACTTTTAGTATTTTCAATCTTTCTTTTTCTTCTTGCTCTTGACTGTGATAAGTAGTTTTCCAGAAGATTGTTCCTTCAATTACTTATAAAACGTCTAATAACTCTTTTACTGCTAAATGCGAATGCGAGGCATAGCATGATAGATATTGTGAAATCTGAAACTAGAGAATAGGTAATATAAGAAAACAGTTTTTTTAAAGAATTTTTTGTTACGGAGCTACTAAAGGGAAAGCTGAATTAGTAATATCACTTTAGAAACTTAACTAGAATTGTACATGTAATAATCGTTTGATTTTTAGCTCCCCATCCCAGAAACATGACAATCATTTCACTGATAAATTGAGTGTTTCCATAAAATAAATAAAACTCGTGAAGGCCCCCTCCCCCATCAAAATCCGATATCTGCATGAAATATGCAGCATATGTTGAGACTGTAGTGGAGATGTTGTGGTAAAATTTTCAGCCCTACATCATGGCGTTTGGGTGAAATGTATCCAAACATGAGTAAAAAATAGCTCATCTAAGCCCACAATGTTCTCTGTTTAGGCTCATTCTATATTTTTAATTTTTTTTGTTAGAAAGATCAAGTCAGAAGGCAGTGCCTATGAGAGTCCTTTTTTTTAAATTCTTACTTTTCTAGAGAAAAAAAGAGATGACAGATTTAATTACTGGAAAAACTCTCAAAAAATAGCGCTTCAATTTTAAAACTGGTTTTCAATATAGTAATAACAAAGCCTTTTTCAAAAAAACGAACTTTCATAGACACTGCAGTTTCACACGCTCTTTCAAACAAAAAAGAAATATTTGACTTTATCTTTTACTGCGATAGAAAGCCGCTGGAGATACGTCGTCCAACCTACACTGTGAGAAAAACGAAAAATGATTTTTGGTTTTTTGTAAAAACAGCTTATTTTTCGAATAGCGGATGACGAAAATCTCTAAATATATTTGGAAAAAAAGAGATGCCGAGTAAAAATTTTGTCGTTCATGAAAGACTGAATCATGGACTATTTCCCCATGCATTTATCTCAATTTCGATCATTCTGACGAAAAGTGACTTTTTTGAACGGGGGGGGGGGGGGGGGGGGCGGGTAACATTAAACCATTCAGGTATGTTTTTTTGGTTTTTTTGCAAAAGATTGTCCACCCGTGGATCCACGTGTTAGAGTT